AGGAAGAGACACAAGAGAGCTCCTCTCTTTCTGATAGTGTTCATTTGCTTGATTTCCAATGGTAGTTGCAAGGATGTGTGTGTTTTGTGAAAATTAATCTAGCTATAACTATGAATTATGCCCTTTTTCTATGAATATAATTAAATAAAAATTAAAGTCAAATTAATTGCAAAATGAAAACTTCCAGATTGCTGAAAGTAATGAAATGGTGACATTTCTGTTGTTACAACCAAAAAAGCATACATCAGTTATGAGAATTTTTATAAACTTGAAACCTAGGCCATTTTGCATTTTAGAAGTACATGTTACTCAGTGTTTTGTTGTTTCTTATGAAAAGTGCCAGAGCTATATGAGTAAATACATCTGTCACTACATATGATTCTGCATATTATTCTAGGTTTGAACCTGCTTTTGTTTTATTAAAACATTTCATGGAATCTTGAGTAAATCATGTATTAGGATGAGTTTTTTAAACTTGTGACATACCATAAGTAGTATTGCTACTGCTCTTATCTCTTTTCCTCCCTGTAGAATGTAAGCTCCTTAATGATAGATTTCTACCTCATATTTTTGTTCATTGCTTTATCCCCAGCTTCTAAATCAGTTCTTAAATATATAGCATGCTCTTGGTGAATAAATCTTGAATGAATAAATCAGAAATATTTTTTATGTCAGGGCACCTGTCACTTATTCAGGATTTCCAGCTGAGGATGGGAAGCATCTTTATCTTATTCATTCTTAAATCTCTAGTGTCCGGTAACATACCCGGTGTACAGCAGTGCTCAAGTAAGTTAATTGTCAAGTGAATAAACTGGAAGGGTTCCCTAGAGAACCATTTACGGGCCATGAGTTAATCCTAGTTTAGAAGAAGGTTCACTGGGTTGAAGCAGCATTAATGAGACGTAGATGCAGGCATTACCATCATGGATGTAGGGGGAAGCAAGAAGAGTGATCTGAATGGAGGGTGCAGTGCCAGTTGAGTGGTGGGACATGGTGCCATTTAGGAGTATGGGAGCAAATTGTGGTGGGCTTTGGAATAATAATATTCACTGAGCTTGTGTTGTGTATTGTGTGCAGTATTTAAGTGTGCTACATGAATTAACCTAGTTAAAACCCCTGCAGTTTAGAAAGATGGATATCAGTATTATCCTAGTGTTACAGATAGGAAACAGGCCCAAAGCAATGAACTTGCTCAAGGTTGCACAGGTGCTGAAGATACACCTGCAACTTGAGTATTACAATTTACAAACCTCCATTCTCAACTGTTACGATCAAGTTCTAGGCCAGGCACTTTAAACATACTAGTGGTCTGTCTTAAGAACATGGAACGTTCTTGGGTAAATACTACTGTTTGTGAATATCTTAGTTGGTTAAATATTTTCATAGCCAAAACAAGTGAGACTTTTTAGATTGTCTCTCTCTCTTCTGTCTCTTTCCCTCTTTCTCTGTCCCCGCTATCTACCACTCCCCCCCCACTCCTCCCTCCCCGCTCCCTGCCTCTCTTCTGTCACTCTCCTCTCTTCCCCCACCCTCTCCCCACCCCTCACCTCTCTCTGTCTCCTTCTCTTTCTGTCTTCCTGTCCTCCCACCCCGCCCACCCTCACAAGATGTACACGCTGGAGTGCAGTGGCATGATTTTAGCTGACTGCAACCTTCACCTCCTGGGCTCAGGTAGTTCTCCTACCTTATCCTCGGACTACAGGTGCATGCCACCATGCCCGACTAATTTTTGTATTTTTTAATGGAGGCGGCGTTTTGCCATGTTAGCCTGACTGGTCTCAAACTCCTGGGTTCAAGTGATCCTCTTGCCTCAGCCTCCCATAGTGCTGGAATTACAGGTGTGAGCCACCATGCTTAGCCAGTATACCTGCTTTTTTCATTTTCTTTCTAAGTGTCTGACTTCTGTGTCTCAGAGTCCTGGGCAGCTGTTCATGAACCAGCTGATGGGATTCTTTCCTATGCTTTCTTTTCTTCTCTCACCCTACCTGCTGTTCTAGAACAATTTCATCCATTCATATGACTATAGTAACAACTATGTGCTCACAATTCCCAAATCGATAGCTTTTTCTTAGATATCAGTTATTAAACAGTATGTGTAAGTGTCTCGTAGAAGTCTCACTATCCAACAGTTTTTCGAAGTGAATGTTTTGTAAGCACATTAGAGTCAGTCCTTTTGAAAATGAACTCCAAATCTGTGTTAGCTGCTTCCCTTTCACACTTATTTGCTTCTGTCATTCTGTATCTCATTGGGCCATAATACTCTGCTGCTCCAGTCATAAATCACAAACAGTGGAGTTAGTTTTGATTCTCTTCTTTTTCTGTCACATTACTCAATCACCAAAACTTAAGGACTCCACCTATTAAATATTTGCCTTATATGTCTGCTTCTCTCAATTCTTAACTGTACCATGAAATAGACCATAGTAGTCTCTCATGAGTATTTAGGCATCAGCCTCCAAGCTGATTTCTCCAGTATATTCTCCTTTCTGTGGTTAGTGCCATCTTTCTGAGATACCTACTTGACCATGTGCTTTTGTAATTCAATATTGGAATATCGTGGAATCAGTAAAAAGAGGCAAAGAAGGAATGAACATATGGGTAAAGGCAAAACCAGAGATACATACCATAGTTTCCGTTGCTGGTTTAGTGACAAGGGTTAGGGCATAACAAGATAAAACTGTATATAACCAAGTGTTTATTAAAAACAAAAGGTAATTTGTTTATACTATAAATGTTTTTGATCATAAGATGTATCTTTTCCTGGATTATTTTTTAAGACAGGGTCTTGCTCTGATGCCCAAGCTGGAATCCAGTGGCATGATCATGGCTCACTGCAGCCTTGACCTCCCACCTCAAACGATCCTCTCACCTCAGCCTCCTCAGTAGCTGAGACTATAGATGCACACCACCATGCCTGGCTAATTTTTGTAATTTTTGTAGGTAAGGGGTTTTGCCATGTTGCCCAGGCTGGTCTCAAACTCTTGAGCTCAAGCTATCCACCTGCCTCAGCCTCTCAGAGTACTGAGATTACAGGCATGAGCCACTGTCCCTGGCCTGCAGTTTTTTTTTTTAAGGGCTCCAGGTCTTATTATGTTGCCCAGGCTGGTTCTGAAATCCTAGGATCTTCCCATCTCAGTCTTCTGAGTAGCTGAGACTATAGGCACATGCTACTGTGTCTAACTCCTTTTTCTGGATTTTAAAATACACTCTGCCTAAAACACTGTATCTATAGCATAAATAATCAACTTTAATATACTCTTAAATTCACTGATATGATGTTCCTATAAATTAAATATAGACTTTATTTCTCTCACATAACAATTTCAAATTTTTCTTATTTCAAATTTTATTCTTAGACTTCTAGATTACTTTAGATTACTTAATTTGTCCACTTAATTCTTTGACTATGCTTCCCCCCACCCTTTTTTAAAATTTTACTTTAGGTGCATACTGTATCTGGCATTTCTCCCGATGTTCTCTCTCCCCACCCACCCCACCCGCCACTCTCTCTCCCCTGCCCCCCACCAACTGCCCTCAGTGTCTGATGCTCTTCTCCCTGAGTCCTCAAGTTCTCATTGTTCAACACCTACCTATGAGTGAGAACATGCAGAGTGTGGCTTTCTGTTCTTGTGTCAATTAACAATTTCAAATTTTTAATTTATATTTTTAGATGGTGAATCACTCTCTATGCTCACTCTCGGCCTAGGCCTAATATTCTAGTGTCTTTACCAAGTATAACTGAAAATATTTTGTAAAATCTTTACTCAGAAAATAGTCCAACCTAGGCTTAGTCTGTAAGTCAAATCTGGCTTTAAACAAGTCTGAGTTAATTTCAGAGTTATTCTTAAGAAAGTCAGAAAAGGATTCAGATTAACCCCTCCAAAGCTGTTTTATCATTATCTGTTGAAACACTTTGGCTCTCAAGCAGAGAACAGAATCTAAATTTATTTTCTAGATTTAGGTATCGTTGCTTATGTGCCCCATCTTCTCCCCTTTTGTATCCCTTTTCCTCCCTTAAAAATTATGCCAACCTAGAATATTTAGACCCCCGGTCATGTGTGGCTCATTCTTGCCTTTGTTGATGGTGGTGGTGGTGGTGTTTATTTTTTGGTTTTTGGTTTTTTTTTTTTTTGCGGGGGGGTGGGGTACAAATGCTTCTGAAAGCCAGGAAGCTGAAGTAAAGAGTGATTGGGCAAGATATACGAAAGCAGGAAGTATAGGTACTCTTTCAACCTAGAGAACACATTTAATCTAAAGGAGTCCCGGTTCATTAATTTAAAAATATTTTGTGACTTAAACAAAAACGTACTGACACCTAAGTTACACTGATTGAAGTGTGACTTCTGGTTTATATATTCTCTCCCACCCTCCTGCAATGCCTTGGATCTTCAGTATTCATTTTCCAAATACAGCTTTTTCTGATATATCCAGCAGGTATATAATCTCTGAGTTATTCCTGGCTGTGTCTTTTTGTGATTTCTTCCATCTCTAAACATCTTCTGAATTTACTGTGTCATACATTTTGCTGAAAGTGTTTAGGTACTTATGGGGATCTAAGTACTGTAATCCAAGAGTGTAGGCTTTTGGTTATCCAGACTAATAGAAGAATGATGTTTAGAGGATATAGAAGATGATTATCATGTCCTTTAAAATATCTCTAAAACATCAAGTGTCTCATCTGTGCTTTTGACTGGCTCAGATGAGCACATAATATCAGATTGTCTGTCAGCATGCCAGATGCCTCACATATGTTATCCAATGTAATCATTAACATACTTCTTTAACAGAGCTGGCCTCCCAATTTTGTAGATATGGAATCTGATGCAGGGAGAATAAGTAACTTACTCAAGGTCCTGTAGTTAGTAAGTGAAATTTTTTTAAATGGGTAAGGTGATAAATGATTTTTACGAGTTAGTTTCATCATGACCACTGTGTTTTAGAAATGCATTATTCTGGTATTCTCTGGTTTACGTATCGAAACATTGTACCCTGTTTTTCAGTGTATAGTCTTTGCTATGACTTCTGGCCAGATGTGGAACCATATCCGTGGGCCTCCATATGCTCATAAGAACCCACACAATGGACAAGTGGTAAGTGTACTTTGTAAGCATCAATATTCGGAAGTTTAATACAGCTTAATATAGGAATGAGAAATTATGTTTAGTGTTTAGTAGGGAAAGATTGTCAATCAAAATATATATTCTTTCTCACTACCTGTGTACACATATATGCGTCCACGCACACACACACACACACACACACACACACACACACACACACACAATATTAATTTTTTTTAGGATGAGCACTACTTTAGTGTTGATGAAAAAAATTAGTATCTACCATATCAAGTTACATGCATACACTGTTTTTTCATGTTTATCTATTGCTATGGCAATACTATGTATCCCCACTAGAGGAAATTGGAACAGTTGATATCCAGTGTCCTTCCCATCCATGGTAAATTTAATTTCCTTCAGAAGGGATTAAGACATTGTTAACAGCTCTGGCAGTCATTGTATTAGAGTGTTAGGAAATCTTTGCCACAGAATTAAAAGTGAAATTGATACATTAGTAGCAGAGTTCATGTTAGTAACTGCCACTGAATTCATATAACTGAGTTTGTTGCCTCCTTTTTACATTTGGTGAGTAGGAAATACTGTGATAAATCAGCATAGAAACATACTCTCTTTGAGACAATATTAGGGTCGTAAAAATTAACAGTTTTTAATTTTTTTCTCTAATTTTTTCTGTTTTTTTTAAACATACATATTTTGAGAGAATAGTATAAATGGCATGCCTTCTTGTACCCATCACTAGAATTTTTCAGTTCTTATATATTTTTTTAAAGGTACATATTTTGAGAGAATATTTGTTTCATCTGTTCTCTCCTGTTTTTTCCACCTGCTAATAATAAAATAATTACTATTATTACTGTATAATAATCAAGTTGGTCTCATATTTTTGGGAACATTTTCAGATTTCTCCTGTAGATGGAGGACAAGGATATGAAGTCAGAGCTAGCCTCTTTGAATAATTGGTTGCCATAATAAATTAGACATAGTTTTTACAACATGTATATGTTTTTGAAATATGGCATTATTTAGAAAGAACAGTAGTTTCAGAAAGTTTTCAATATTCAAAATTCAGTTATACAAAGAAAAATAATTTGAAACAATTTTAGAGCAATAAATTATTCCCTTACCTTTAATTTTCACACAAACAGTGGCCTCTCAACAAGACCTTTCCTCACCACGCTATTTAAAATTAGCCCTTTTTTCTCTTCCTCCTCCCCAGTGCCCATACTGTTTCTCCCTCTCCTGTTTTATTTTTTCTCCATAGTACTTGTCCCCTTACTATATGCTACATAACTTACTTATGTTATTTTTTCAATCTGTTTTTTGCCATGACCCAGTAATACATAAGCATCTGAAAGAATGGATTTTATCCATTTCTGTTACATAAAGAAGGGCCTGATGCGGATATTTGATCACTGTTGCGTTAATGATAGTTAACATTGTAAATTTAGGAAATCTCATAAATTTTTNCACTTCTGTTACATAAAGAAGGGCCTGATGCGGATATTTGATCACTGTTGCGTTAATGATAGTTAACATTGTAAATTTAGGAAATCTCATAAATTTTTTGATACTACCTTTTAATATTCTTCTTAGAGTATTCCTTAGGTATAAAACATATTAAGGCATTGTTTTTCATTATTTTTTATGGTTTGTTAAAGTATATAAAAAATTGTTCAACTTTCTTACAGAATGTTTTAACCTATTGTAATCCTTTTTGGGAGGGTATCAGACTTTTTTTTGTTTGTTTGGTAGAACTTTTATATTAGGTTAGCGGATACCTGTGCAGGTTTGTTACTTTGGTACATTGCATGATAAAGGTTTGGAGTGTGAATGATCTCATCACCCAAGTACTGAGTGTAGAACCAAATTGGTAGTTTTTCAGCCTTTTCCTCCTTCTCCCTCTAATAGCCTGCAGTGTCTATTGTTCACATCTTTATGTCCATGTGTATCCAGTGTTTAGCTCCTACTTTTAAGTAAGAACGTGCATTACTTGATTTTCTGTTTCTGTTAATTTGCTTTGGATAATGGCCTCCATCTGCATCCATATTGCTACAGAAGACATGAGTTCATTCTTTTTATGGCTATGTAGTATTTCTTGTTGTTGTGTATGTACCACATTTTCTTTATCCACACTGTGACAGACACCTTGTTTGATTCCATGGCTTTGCTATTGAGAATAGTGCTGCAATGAACATACAAATGCATGTGTCATTTTGGTAGAACAATTTATTTTCCTTTGGGTATATGCCCAGCGATGGGATTGCTAGGTCAAATGGTGGTTCTATTTTAGTTCTTTGAGACATCTCCATACCGTTTTCCATTATAGCTGTACTGATTTACATTCCCACCAGTAGTGTATGTGTTCCCTTTTCTTCACAGCCTTGCCAGCATCTATTATGTTTTGACTTTAAAAAAATAGCCATTCTGACTGGTGTGAGATGGTATCCCATTGTGGATTTAATTTGCATTTCTCTGATGATTAGTGATGTGTGGAGCTTCTTTCCATATATTTGTTACCTGCTGTCTGTCTTCTTTTGAGAAGTGTCTGTTCATGTACTTGCCTACTTTTTAATGGAGTTATTTTCTGATTGTTGATTTAAGTTGCTTATAGATTCTGGATAATAGACCTTTGTCAGGTACATAGTTTGCGAATGTTTTCTCCCATTCTGTAGGGCGTCTGTTTACTCTGTTGATAGTTTTTTTTTTTTTTTTTTTTTTTTTTTTTTTGCCAAAGCTTTTTAGTTTAATTAGGTCCCATTTGTCAATATTTTATTTTGCTTAGATTGCTTTTGAGATCTCCATAAATGCTTTCCCAAGCTGGGTTTTTGGTAGTGACGTTTGGTAGTGTCTGGATACGTTTTAGATTGTCTCAATTTTCAGGGCAACTATCCACTTCTGGCAGTTAGTGATAGAGGCCAGGAATGCTGCTAAACACCTAAAATACAAAGGACAGCCTGCTACACCCAATAAATAGTCCGGCCCCAAATATCAGAGTATTGAAAGTGAGAAGCCTAGGTAACCTTAGATATAATTTTGTCTTCCTAGAATCTTTGCACCCAAGAAAACTAACCCATCTAGCATATAATCACAACGAGTGATTTTTTCTTAAAAAAAAAAAAAAAAAAAAAAAAGTTTGAAAAACTGAGATAGCCAGAGCTTAGGGTCATGCGGACATCTGTTTAATGTTTAGGATGGTTGTATATATTGAACGTCATCAGTAAATATGATTGGTCTGTAAATGCGTGCTTATTTTTAAAGTTTTTAAAATTTTAATTTTGTTTTATAGAGTTAGAGTCTCACTTGGTCACCTTGGCAGAGGTGCTATCATAGCTCACCATAGCCTTGAACTCCTGGCTCAAGCGATCCTCCTGCCTCAGTGTCCCAAGTACCTGAGATTCCAGGTGCATGACACTGTGCCGGGTCTTTTTTTTCCCCAAGAGACAGGGTCTTACTGTGTTGCCTAGGGTGGTCTTGAACTCCTGGACTCAAGCAGTTCTCCTGCCTTGCCCTCCCAAAGTTCTGGGATTATAGTCCTGAGCCACTGTGCCCATCTGTAAGTGGATTTTCTTTACTATGCCTTAGCAAATATGATTTAATCTATGGCATTTTATATGCTTAAAAATTGACATTGATAAGAGAAAGTGAAGACTGTGGCCCATAGAGACGTTTTTATGCCTCTGTCCTGAAGTGTGCAGGCAAATAGAAACAAAAAGAAAACAGGGCAGAGCTCTTCTCCAAACTCTACCTCTTACCAGGCCTGTCATTTTGGGGAAGTTACTTATTCTCTCTGTTGTTCTTCTGTAAAATGAGTTGAATTCTGCTGTTCTTACTTTGTAGTTTTTTGGTAGATAAAATCTGATAATAAATGTATATATTTTTTACAGGGCTGAGAATGGCTGTGTCTGTACCCATATCAGCACAGACTTGGTAGATAGCAATCCCATAAAGCAAAGAGGGAAGGCGGTGTCAGACAAAGTCAGGTCCTATGACATGCAGCTACCAGGGTCAAGCCAGCATTAGGCTCAGTGCAGGGGCAAGAAAGGTCAGAGGTAAGATAGGCAGAGAAGCTGGAGGCACCAAGAAGGGTGCCATAGGTGGGAGGAAGAGAAAGAGAAAGACAGAGACAGCCACTGGTCAGAGAGGCCTGGTCTGCGTAAGCACTTGTAAAAGTTGAAAACACACTTGCCTTATTTTGACTTTCTTTCAGAACAGATCCAAAGACAGTGATTGAAGTGAAAGTTCATACTGGAAGTTAAGGAAACATGGGAGGGGAGTGGCAAACAGTCTAGGAGGGAAAGCAGCCAAAAAAGATGTATTTATACAGTCAGTGTTAATGAGCCACTCAAGCTTAATGCTGCTGTGGGATCTCTGGGAGCCTGTGTAGAACACATATGTCAACCTTCCTACTAAAGTGGTGGGGGAGCTGAGGTATTTATATGCCAGATTCCATCAGCCATTTGCTGGGTACTATTCTCTTGGCAAAGGAAGTACTTCTCCAGCACTGGTGGACTTAATTTGTCAAAGAAAGCCAGCCAGTCAAAGAAATGCAGGTGCTGGTGGTGGAAGTCAGGCTGGAACACACTGAGGCATTATGACAAAGAAATATGGGCAGTGTACTACTCATAGACTGTATTTACTACAACTTATAATAATATGTCAGTTTCTTCTTTTTTAGTAGATTCCAACTGAGAGGGAAAAAATGAAAACAACACATTTGGTATTGGTTTTATTTCAAGATATCCTCTGGGAAAAAAAGCCACAAATAAAGTCTCATCAATTAAATATAGTTTTATTTTTAAGTCAGTATCGTATGTCATGTAAACAATTCTTCAGAGAAAAGTATAAAAATGTATGCATATTTAAGAACATCTATCTCTATAAGAAATTTTTATTTCACATTATTTTTATTGTACTTTATGTTCTGGGGTACATGTGCAGATCATGCAGGATTGTTGCCTAGATACATACATGGCAAGGTGGTTTGTTGCCTCCATCCCCCTGTCACCTAT